TGTTTCTTTCATGAACGTGGGTGCTTTTGTAGTTGGTGCATAGATGTTCAGAATTGAGACTTCATCTTGATGGATTTTTCCTGTGATGAATATGAAATGACCTTCTTCATCTCTTTTGATTAGTTTGTTTGAAGACTAACTTGTTAGATACTAGGATAGCTATGCCAGCTTGCTTCTTAGGACCATTTGATTGGTAAATCTTTTCCCAACCCTTTTAACTCTGAGGTAATGTCTGTCTTTGAAGGTGTGTTTCTTGTATGCAGAAGAAGGATGGATTCTGTTTTTGTATCCATTCTGTTAGCCTGTGTCCTTATATAGATGAGTGAAGACCATTGATATTGAGGGATATTAATGAGCATTAATTGTTCATTCTTGTTTCCTTTGGATTTGGTTTTGGTGTTAGTAGTATGTGTGAATTTTTCTCCTTTTTTCTGGCTTTTGGTAAAGTGGGGTTATCTATTGCCTATGTTTTTTTTAGTGTATTTAGTGACCTTGAGTTGGAGTTTTCCTTCCAGAAGTTTCTGTAAGGCTGGATTTGTGGATATGTATTGTGTAAATCTGATTTTGTCATGGAATTTCTTGTTTTCTCCATCTCCATCTATAGTGATTGAGAGTTTTGCTAGGTATAGTAGTCTGGGCTGGCATCTGTGGTCTCTTAGTGCTTACAGAACATCTACCTTCTGGATTTCAGAGTTTCCAGGGAGAAGTCAGGTGTAATTCTGATTGGTCTGCCTTTATATGTTACTTGGACTTTTTTCTTTGCTGTATGTTTGGTGTTTTGATTATTATGTGGCATGGGGACTTTTTTTTTTGGTTCAGTCTATTTGGTGTTCTGTAAGCTCCTTGTACTTTCATGTTCTTCTTTTGGTTGGAAAAGTTTTCCTCTATGATTTTGTTGAATATGTTTTCTCCACCTTTGAGCTGGGCTTCTTCACCTTATTCTATTCCTGTTATTCTTAGGTTTGGTCTTTTACAGTGTTCCATATTTCCTGGATATTTTGTTTTAAGGATTTGTTGGATTTAAGATTTTCTTTGGTTGATGAATCTGTTTCCTCTAGTTTATGTTCAATGCCTGAGATTCTCTCTTCCATTCTGTTGGTTATGCTTGCATCTGTAGTTCCTGATTGTTTACCCAGCCTTTCTATTTCCAGCATCCCCTCAGTTTTTGTTTTCTTTATTGTCTCTATTTCACTTTTCAGGTCTCAAACTGTTTGAAATGTTTCCTTCATCTGTTTGACTTTTTTTTTCTTGGCTTTCCTTGCTTTTTGTAAGAGATTTGTTGATTTCTTGCATTTTTGTTTGTTTTTTTCTTCCATTTCTTTTAGGGATTTTCTCATATTCTCTTTGAGGGCCTCTATTGTTTTCATGTAGTTGTTTTTAAGGTCAGTCTGTTCTGCTTCATCAGCATTGGGATGTTCAGGTCTTACTGTTGTAGAATCCCTACACACTGGTGGTGTCATATAAGTCTTTCTATTGTTGGATGTTTTCTGATACTGTCATTTTTCCATCTCTTCTTCCAGTGGGTACAGGTGGGGTCTCTCCCTCTCCAGGTGGTTATGGGTTCAACGCTCTATCCTCTCCTCTCTCCTGGAGGGTTCAGGGGCAAGACAGGAATTGCAGCTGATGCCTCCAGGTACCTCTGGGGAATTTGGTGGCAAGAAGGGTCTGGTGGCCAAAGATCAGGGAACTCAGGGAAAGGTGGGCTGGAAGAGCCCCTGGCACTCAGCTCTCTTTCAGAGAGTGGAGGGGCAAGACAGGAATCCAGCTCAAGTTTTAAAGACAGAATTTCTCAGTGAACCTGGCACTCACTGATTGACTAGATTGGTTGGTCAGAGAATCCCAGGAATCCCATCTCTATGTCTCAGCACTGGAATTACAGACACTTATTAACATGCCTACATTTCTGTATGGGTGCCAAAGATCAGCACTTGCCTTCATGCTATATCATCTTCTTAGCCCAGAACATCTTCATTTTCCAGAGATTTGGGCAAGTTGCTCAGGTCAGAGTGAGAAAGATCCTGCCATGCAAGGCTGAGAACCTGAGTTTGTTCCCTGGAACCCAAGAGGGAAGGACAGAACTGACTCCTGAAAGTTGTCCTCTGATCAACAAATGCATGCCCTGGTACACCTTTGCAACCCTATTCAGTAATAATTTTTAAAAGATGCTTCACTTGAATTGTTCCCCATAGTGGTAGAAACCCTGCTGGGTCACTTGTACTGTGTGGCACTTAGTGGGTGGGAACATCAGGAATTCGGCTTCTTCCTGAATAACCAGAGAATCCACCCACTCTTTGGGTGTGTGAAATAAGTGCATTTATATGAAACTCATGAATTTTCATCAGGAATGATCAAACATCAGAGGTCAACAGGCAACAGCAACAATACACATCCTTTCTCGTGGTCTGTATCAAAGAACTTAGTTAAATAAATCAGAAGAAAGAAGAAGTTATAGTCTTTAAATTCCCAGGGCTTTCATTTTGTTATGAATGGATTAAGTTAGGGGACTTGTAAAAAAGTGATTTTATGAGAGAGATTAGGAGCAAGATAAAGTGAGTGCATGCTGGTAACTTAAAGACAAAGTGTTAGATTATTGTGGAATGTTGGGATAAGTGTACTTACATGTAACAAATGCCACGTGTATGTTCTGCATGTAAGGTATGAGGTCTGGGTGAAAGGCATATCCTTTAGTTTCCATATTCAGAAACCAGAGTCACATACAGGACTTGTTAAAATTCACTCCAGAGTTTCTGATTGAGAGTTTCTGGGAAGGGCCTGAGCACTGACATTTCTAGAAAGTTCCACGGTGTTGCTGAGCTGCTTTAATGCTCCCAGGGTTTGCTTGGACACTTGAAGTGAGGGGTAACAGCTGCAGGTGACACTAGAACAACTTTCTTCAATTTAACTGATATGGCATGGCAAATGCTTCCCAGTAACTCTACCCCGATCTTAATTCTGCCAGCTGGAACATCTCTCCATAGCCTTAATCCCCATATAAGTGGCTCCACAAACACATTTACTCCAAGGAAAAGAACAGAGAAGGGTTCACTTGGCAAACTATGCTTGTTATGCTCCATGCCACAGACTGTTCAATTCATTCTACTCTCCAACTCCCATGCTTAAATTTTAAAAGAGAATAAAGTGAATAAAAGTTTTGTGTAAGTTGATGAGTTGTATACACATACACATTCATACATTTACATTAGGGACACCCGTATTGCTACACTGTACATCAAACATAGGACACTTCCCATCAAAGGTTCTTTTGTATTGTGTCCAACGTAGTACCAAAGGAGCACCCATCCTACTTCAATTGCCTTTGGACAAGTTGTATTTGACTTTGAACTCTATGTAAGTGAAGAATAGCGAATGCATTCTCCACTCTCTGATGCTTTCCCTCAACATGGCTGTCAGCATCATCTGTAGGTTCTTTCATTGTGATAGTTATATATCATCCTGAGTGTGACATGTTCATAATGCCACATTGAATTCCTCCTTCTACTTTGCAAACGCTGAAGTTTGATAATAACATTGCTGGTGTGATGCTTAGCACGAACTAGGATGGTAATAAGTATACCATATCACCGGATCTTTTCAAGAACATAACATTAGAACTACTGTTAATGTAAGATGGCTTGGTAACCTATGTAAGGACTCACACCTAGTACAAAGTGGATTAGTAGCTTTTAAAATTATTTATTTACTTATTTTACATACCAACCACAGTCCCCCCTTCCTCCACTCCTTCTATTCTCTCCCCCACCTCTTTTCTACCCCCCAATCCAATTCTCAGAAAGGGTAAGTCCTCCCATGGGAGTCAATAAAGCAAGGAATATCAAGTTGAGGCAGGACTATGCTCTTCCCCCTGCATCAAGGCTGAGTGAGGCATCCCACCACAGGGAATAGGTTCTAAAAAGCCAGCTCATGCACAAGATCTTGGTCCCACTGCTAGGGACCCCACAAACAGACCAAGGTACATAACTGTCACCCCCACACAGAGGGCCTACATCAGTCCCATGCAGGCTCCATAACTGTCAGTCTAGAGTCCATGAGCTCCCAAGAGCTCAGGTCAGCTGTCTCTGTGGGTTTCTCCATCATGATCATGATCCTGCTTGCTCATATGAACCCTCCTCCCTCTCTTCAAATGGACTCCTGGAGCTTGGCCTAGTGCTTGGCTGTGGATCTCTGCATCTGCTTCCATCAGTTACTGGATGAAGTTACTATGATGACAATTAGGGTAGTCACCAATCTGATTATAAGAGAAGGCCAGTTCAGGTACCCTCTCCAGTATTGCTAAAAGTCTTAGCTTGGGTCATCATTGTGGAATCCTGGGAGTTTTCCTGGCACCAGCTTTCTTCTTAACCCCACAATGGTCCCCTCTATCAAGATATGTCTTTCATTGCTCTCACTCTCTATCCATTCCCCAACTCGGCTATCCCAACACCTCATGCTCCACCCCTCCCCTATATCCACCCCCTTCACCAGTTTACCCAGGAGATCTCATCTATTTCCCCTTCCCAAAGCAAGTAGATCAGTATTTTAACACAACTTCTTTTGACTCACTGGGATGATTAATATTATCAATCTGACAGGACCCAGAATCACCCAAAAGATAATCTGCCATGTCCGTGAAGGATTATCTAGATTAGACTTATCCAGATGGAAAAGATGAGCCTCACAATGAGTGACACTGTTCCATGGGATAGGGTCCTGGACTGGATAAAAAGGAGAAAGTGGGCTGAATAGGGCATTCATCTCTGCTTTCTGACACAGGTTGTAATGTGACCAACTTCCACTCCGTTATGCTTTGTATCTTCTCAAACAATAAGCTCAAATAAATCATTGTTTCTTGAGAAATTAACAAATGTTCTTAGAAGATGCCAGGAGAACTTCAAACATCCAATGGACGGAAGTTGAATATCCTGTGTCTGCAAGAAGGTAATTCTTTTCAGGAAAAGTCTTTATAATCTCAGCTATTTATTGTGTTAAAATCTTACTTGCAGGTGATGTGGGTCCCCCACCTTCTACTGTCATCAACCAAAATGAAACTTTTGCCAAAGTTATTTTTAAGCCTACCGTGGTTCAACAAGCTAAGATTGCCCAGAATGGAATTTTGGGAGATTTCATCATTCGATATGATGTCAAGAGAGAGCAGACCATTGGTGACATCCAGGTAATGACTTCCATGATGCCACTATATGTGGAGCACAATCCTTTCTGTTCAATTCAGAACTGTGGATTCCAATACTTACCTAAAGCTTAAAGATATTTCTGGTTCTCAGTAAAACTCTTTAAACCCAAAAATATGTCTTCAAAGAGACTAGTGATGCTCCCTTGCTGACTGCCAAGGGTACCTATTTCGTGCTTCAGTAACCTGGACAGCAAATGAAATCTATAATGTAATTTTCCCTGTGGTGTTTTAGATGAGGTTAGAATTTTAGCACTTCTTCAACTTTAATTAAAAGAGACTCTTCCGTAGCTTATTTCCCTTTAGGTTCTATTGCTGCAGAGACAAGGTGAGAATATTAAAATATGTGGATGTGCACAGAGAATGCAGACAACCTTGATAACTTCCTGTGTAAGATGCTTAGTAAAAATAGATAATGAAAGAAGCAGGATTCTCAAGAAGCAAGGTCAGAAGAAGATGCTTAATTAAAGTTGATGGCTTGTCATGGTCTATGTATTTATACTTATGTATACATTTATGTCATTTTAAAGGTGATACAGATTGCACCATGGTATACACACATCCTCAGCAAGCACTTTATCATTGAGATTTACCCCCAGCCCATGATGAATACTTTTAAGAGAGATGATTCTATTTTATTATATTAATTAATGACTAATTCTCTTGGAGGGATACAGAACAATGATTTTGTTCTTGGTGTGGACTGTACCTCTAGACCGTCTAATGTTGTCTTTATGTTTCATGCCATCTTTGTGTTTTGGAAGTTCCAAAGATTGTTCTAATAATTCCCTTCCTTTTACTGAATGCTACTTTGGCTACTTTATTTTCTTCCACCAGGTTCTGAATGGTTATTTTGTGCACTACTTTGCCCCTAAAGACCTCCCTCCTTTACCCAAGAATGTGGTTTTTGTGCTTGACACCAGTGCCTCCATGGTGGGAATGAAACTCCAGCAGGTGAGTGAGTGCCACCTGCCCTTAGCTTGCTCATGCTTTGACTGGTACAATGATCTGCCTTGTGAATGACATTCAGTTGGTGCCAAATGTCTGCTTTACCACCAAGCTATTCCTACTTATAGACATCCATAAGCTGACTCATGTAAACCATTGGTAGATAATGTGGATTTAAGAAAGCAGAAGGGCAGACTAGAGAAAACATCTTGGCAGAGAGGACAATGTGAGTGAAATAGGAACACATTGAGGGGGCCACTCAACAGTAGAATTAGCTAACCATGGTGTTGCACATTGGAATGCAAATACTCAAGAGACTAAGGCAGAAGGAACACAAGTTTGGGGCTAGCCGAGGTACATAGCAAGTTTCAGGATGGTCTGTGCTACATAGTAACACCTAGTTCAAAACAAGACAAAATTAAACAATGCAAAATGAAACAAAAAGAACAGTACCATATTAACAAAAATTGTGTCCAGTGAGGATTCCTTTGTGAACAATGAAACTGAACCCTTAGAAGTTCCTTTGGCATATCCACAAAACAAAGAATTCAGGCCTTAATAATTCAGGAGTCATTCTCACAAAATCTACAGCCCATTTCCACAACTCCAAGTTCAGGAGGGTCATTAGAGGGCATTTACATTGTTGGCTGACTTCTATTATTGCTTTTGAAAGTTAACAAAAGTTAACTTTTGTTCTCTTTGTGGGATTATTTATTGGTGTCTGATTTTGTGGGTTTCTCCTTTAATATAGTTTTCTATAGTTTTAGAATGATGGCTTATAGCAAAGGGCAAGTTTTTAAGGATAAAAATAAAAAGATGAAAGTCACTACACAGAAAAAAACAATTATTTCACATAAAAGAAAATTGTAAACGTCTGCTGTAAATTAAAAACAAAAGCAATAAATGGCTGGAAAGCTGTATTCAGGAAAAAAGATAACTGTTTATTATCCATGAACAGTGAGCTATTTCAGATCACTAAGAAATAAGCCTTCACAAGAAAGTGAACAAAGGATGTAAGACAGTCCATGAGAAAAAAGTCATTAAGAATATGAAAAAGGGAGGCAAACATGTTAACAGTTAAAGAAAAGCGATTGACAGGGATCATGGAGTGCTTGGAGCTTAGCATTCATTAAGTTCTGGTTCAACCTCCAGGTTGTGGTGGTGCACTCCTGTGATGCCAGTACTCAGGAGGTGGAGGCAGGAGGATCAGAAAGTTCAAGGTCATCCTTGACAACATAGCAGTTTCATGCCAGTCAGGGATAAATGGGAGCTTATTTAAAACAAAAACAAAAACAAATACACAAAACAAAACAACATAAAAATAAATACATTTTATCTCCATAGCTTTAAACTATAAATATTATTAATTCTTTACAAGGATACTTTGAGTAATGTGCATTTTAATATATTACAGAAGTATAATTTTTACATTATTTCTCAATAAATATTAAGAAGTACAGAAATGGGAAAACGCTCAGCTACTCTATTGTCACCACTCCATTCACTCTGTGATCATTTGTTCCTAAAGCCTGAAGCTCCAAGAGGGCTTGTCTTCGAGTGCCCAAGTTACTTCACAGCTTGAGTCCAGACCAGTTTTAGGACACATGGTCTTCCACATCTGACCAGGTGGTGGTCAAAGATAATCTTGTCTATAAGCTTGATGGTCCACATTTGCTCTCAGAACTTTAGGCTGAATGAGGCTGGAGGATTGTGAATTCAAGACCATCTGGGTTATATAGCACAACCCTTTCAAACAAAGAAAGGAAAGGAAGGAAGAAGAGAAGGAAGGAAGAAGAAAGCAAGCGGGTTAAAAGAAAGAAATCTTGCCAAGTAATTTCCAGAAAAGTAGAGGTAAATCCTCCCTAAACCATTTAGAGAAATCAACTTACCAAACAAACAAAAGAATGGATCAAGGCTCTTGTGAATTTACCTTTAACCATAAAATAAGCCCGGGACTCTCATATGGGCCATATACACCTATATACATATACACTGTGCTGGAGGGTGACTTCAGATGTCCTCCTTAATCAGTCCACACCTGATTATTTTTGATGGAGAGTCTCTCATTGAAAATGGAGTTCCCTGATTGCCTAGACTGGCTCTCCAGGATCCTGCTGTCTCATCCTCTCCCGTGGTGGGATTACACACACATGCTGCCTTGTGCAGAGTTTACATTGGTGCTGGGGATGAAATTTAGGTTCTTATACTTGCATGGTAAGCACTTTACAGACTGTACTTTCTCTCCAGACACTTGAACACCTCTTAAAAACATAATAGGACAATATTCAACATGATATTTACTATCCTAAATGTATTACATGGATTATGTCATATGGAAGTGTTTAGTCTTTATAACCATTTCACTACCACCCCATTTTATTGATGGAAAATCGAGGGTTTGCACAGGTACATAACCTGACCAGTAAGTGGTAGGTTCAGGCTTTGATTCCAGGTCTGCTCTGAAGCCCATGAACCAAACCATTGAAACTATCACACCATTATGTGAGCAACAGCATGCAGCCAAGAGAGGTGTAGATGGATGCAAGGTCAATGCTATTTCTTAGTTTAAGACTTAATTGAGAAGGCTGCATTCTGGAAGGCATGGGTTTCCTCCTTTATGCAAGAACAATCCAATGACTGATGTGAGACCATCGCTATTCTTTCTTCTGTCATTTCTGGACATGAGAATCCTATTCCTTGCTAGTCACTGTCAGTTTGGCATGCTTCTTTCTACTGGCTTCTAAGAAATAGCATGGCCCCTTTCCAGGAGAACTACCCTGGAACAGCCAAACACATGTCTGAGCAATATGCAAAGCCCCTTGCTGCCTTGAGTGGTTTTGCAAACTCCTATTTTAGCAATCCGTAATTTCTCTGAAGCCACAGCACTGGGTGAAAAGCTCAGCTGGCTGTGGTAGTCTCATAGACGATGGTGGTGTATAACTGGTGAAAGAGACAGTTGTCCCAAGCACAAGGCTTCTGTATTGTGTCAACAGGCTGGCAATATGAGACATTTGTCACAGGTCCACTGGGATCCTGTTATGAATCATTCTTCATGCTTTTGGCTTCTCATAACTTTGATAGGCTCGAACAATTTTGCTCTTCTTATCATGGGGTTAGAGGTGTAATAATTAATAATTAATCAAGGGCTACAGAGATGGTTCAGTGGGTGAGGGCAGTGACCATGCAAGCTTGATGACCTGAGTTTGTCCCTCAAGGGTTGTCCTCTGACTTCTACACATGTGTAATGATACACAAGGGTGCCATATGCCCCCCAACAAAAATTAAGTTAAAAAATAACTGCTGTAACAATTGGTTTATGAAGAACTGTAAACATTGAGTTGGGGTGATGGCTTGGTCGGCAAAGGGCCTGCCATGTAAGAATGAGGACCTGGTTTTGGATTCCCAGAATCCATGTGAAAGAAGCTGGGTGTGATGGCATGTGCCTATACTGTCAGAACTAGGGAGGCAGAGACAAGAGTATCTCTATGGGTTTTTGGCAAGGCAGTTTAGCAGGATTGGTGAGCTCCAGGCTCAGTTAAAGGCTATCACAAAAAAAATAATAAAGTGGATAAGGAACGAGGAAGAGATGTGATGCTGACCCCTGGCCTCCACACTTGTGAGCATGAATACATATGCTTGCATGGACACCCTCCCCACACAAACAGTAAAGTTCATTTGACTTGGAAAAAAATGCATGCTCAGTAGGGAGCATGTCTATACCTGGGAGCCCCTAAATCTTTGCATCTAGAGTTTTCTGATTCTTTTTTAGTGTAGTGGAAATGTGTGCGTCTGGATGCTAGTGCTTCCCAGTTTGAGGGTGGAGATAGGGCCTCCCACTGGCGGCTGGCACACACTTGGCTTTTTGTCTTCCATGTGGTTTGCAGATGGATGTGTTGAGAAGTGGCTCTGACATTGGATCAGAAAGACTTCTGCTACTTAGTCCAAAAACTCAATCAAGGGGAGTTAAGAGGGATAATAGGAAGAAAGGCAATGTAGCCTAGGTGTTTGTCTTTCTTTTGTTAGTTGGCTTACACAACTAAGGCGTGAGTATCTGCAAACATGTCTGTCCTAGAAAACATTGGTAACTACACATTTTTCTGGGTTGGCAAGATGACTCAGAGGGTGAAAGAATTTGTTGTTATGCCTGATGAACTGAGTTCAGTTCCTGAGACCTACATGGAAGAAAATTGACTCCTGAGAACTGTCCTCTGACCCCTATACCCCTACTCACACAAATAAATAAATGTAAACATTTCTTATAAAAAATCATTTTTCCTTGACCAAAGCCCACAACTTTCCCTCTAATTTGTACAATTATGATTATGACTATTGTTGTTGTTGTTATTATGAACAGAAATTTAAACAGTTATTTAAATCAGAAACAAGCTTTTTCCACATGTCAATCACAGCTCCCTCTCCCTCCTCTCCTCCCCTGCCCCCCACCGACCCTCCATCCCATCCCCTCTCCTCCCCAGGGAGGGTGAGACCTTCCATGGGGGAATCTTCAAAGTCTGTCATATCATTTGGAGCAGGGCATAGACCCTCCCCAGTGTGTGTAGGCTGAGAGAGTGTCTCTCTATGTGGCGAGGGCTCCCAAAGTTCATTTGTGTACTAGGGGTAAATACTGATCCACTACCAGTGGCCCCATAGATTGTCCAGACTGACAAACTGACTTCTTCCTTCAGGGGGTCTGAAACAGTCCTATGCTGGCTTCCCAGCTATCACTCTGGGGTCCATGAGCAACCCCTTGATCAGGTCATCTGTTTCTGTGGGTTTCTCCAGCCTGGTCTTGACCCCTTTGCTCATCACTCCTCCCTCTCTGCAGCTGGATATTATTAACTTTTTTATCTTAGTGCAGGTATGTTTGCATTTGTGCATATGTGTGTGTGTGTGTGTGTGTGTGTGTGTGTGTGTGTGTGAGAGAGAGAGAGAGAGAGGGGGGGGAGGGAGGGAGAAGAGAGAGCACAAGTACAGGTGCTGGGGGTATGAGTGGAAACCAGAGCACA